AAACATATTTGCTCCCTGCAAGTCTCCCCTTCTCTTCTGGTTTAGTTCTCAGCTAGAGCCATCTTTTCATGGCTCTGCACAGGAAATGAAGAAGGAGGGGAAGGAGGAGGAAGTAGCCTTTCCCTTTGAGGATCTCTGGCACTGTGAGGGTAGGGAGCCCATAGCCCTGGCTGGTAACACTAGCAGAGAGATCAAGCATTTGAGGCTTAGGGTGGAAGAGAAGATGCAAGATATGAAAACTAGGAGTCTTTGGGGCAGGGGAGAGACAGCTCAGCAGTTAAGAACACTTGTTGCTCTTGCAGAGGACCCAGGTTCTGTTCCCAGCACCTACATGGTGGCTCACAACCCTAACTCCAGTTCTAGGGCATCCAATGCTTTCTTCTAACTTCCTTGGCTTCCAGGCATGCACATAGTGTACATACATACACGCAGGCAAAACACACACTCATACATATAAATCAGTCTAAAAAATTGGGAGATCCCTGGTTCAGGCTCCACTATGTGTAACATTGGTTGGACACTATGTAGATCAAGCTAGCCTCAAACTCATAAATATCTGCTTACCTCATGCTGGGATTAAAGTCTGTACCCAGCTTCCCACATTGTTTTGAGGTGGGGTCTTTTTATTTGTTGATGGATGCTTCATACAACAGGCTGACCTAAGAGCCCCCAGGATTCTTCTTCCCCTCCCATGTTGCCACAGGAGTAGCGGGTTAGCATGTTTGTGCGCTGAATCTGGGTTTATATGGGCTCTGGGGAGTCAAATGTGGGGTCCTCATGTTTATGTAGCAAGCCACACTGAACCACCTCACTAGATTCTGACACTGAGCTCCTGATTCTCTTGCCTGAACCTTTGAAGTATTGGGATTACAAATATGCTCTATTACACCCAGCTCTACTTTCTACTTTGTGTATGCATATTTGTTTCTTCAAGACAGGGTTTCTTTGTTTAGCCCTGTAACTCACTTTGTAGACCAGGCTGGCCTCGAACTCACAAAGATCCACCTGCCTCTGTCTCCAGAGTGCTGGGATTAAAGGTGTGCCACCACCACCCAGCTCCAGCTCTACCTTCTTAATATGGCTCAAGCCAAAACTGCTGCTAGCCTCTGGGGGAACCTTGATAGAAACTGGGCAGAAGGACAAACTTTGGGGGTAAGCAGTTTCCAGGTAAGCAATATGGCTAATAAATATCATCTTCCAGCATCCACTGCAGGGGTGAGGGTGCACACAGGTAGCATTTCACTTCCCAGCCCACCCCCTCATGTGTGCACTACTGTGTACTGTGCCCTATGCAAGCCCTAACCCCGTGCATTCACTGTTTGCTGCTGCAGCCTGATCTAAGGGCCAGTGTGTGGCTCTATAATTCCAATTCCCTTTCTGGTATCCTCAGGGCTACCTCCTGGAAGTTCAATCTTCCAGGTTCTCCAGGAAAGGCTGGATGTTCAAGATAGCCCCTAAGCCTTAGTCCTTGTTAAGTTCCTTTCCTTTTCTGATTCTTCCACTTGCCTATCCTTCACCCCAACAGGCCTGGCCTTGGCCAGAAGACCCTGCTGTCTCTTTCTCCTCCTGGCAATGCTTCCTGGTCGTTTCAGGCTTTGTTTAAGCCATGCTGTCCCTTGGATGCCTTCCCAGGTTGGCCGCTGTTCTTGGATATATGACCCATATTGCAACCAACTCTGGCATCCCAGTGGCCCCAGAGGCTGAAAAGACACAGTTTCAGGGGCTCATGAGATGTTTAATTTTTTTTTTATGATTAGAAGGAAACAAGAAATGAATTTTAAAGGATTAAAGAGGGCCAGTGGTGGTGGTGGCACACACCTTTGATCCCAGCTCTTGTGAGGCAGAGTCAGGTGGATCTCTGTGAGTTTGAAGCCAGCCTGATCTACATAGTTAGTTCCAGGCCACCTGCCTCTGTCTCCTGAGTGCTGGGGTTAACTGACATTTCTTTTCAACAGAGAAGGGTGCTCAGAGAGGCAGAAGTACTTAGGTCTCCTGAAAGTCACCTCATAGCCCTGATCATCATTCTTGGCTCCTCCTGCCCAGTTACCTCAGAGTGCCTAGAGTAGAAGCAGATACCTCTGTGTTCTTATTTGTTTTTGTGGTACTGAGTATCAAATCTGGGACTTGAGTATATCCTAAGTATAAGGTCTGTCTCTGAGTTGCACCTTTGCATTGTTACGTTTTAAAACACACACCCCCCCACACACATGTATTTTTGTTAATATGTGTGTGATGTACATGTGCATGTGAAAGATATTCTTTTGAGACAGGGTCTCTTACTGGCTTGGAACCAACTAAAGCCATGTTGGCTGGCCAGGGAGCTCTAAGAAGCTACCTATTTCTATCTTACTAGCACTGGGATTACAAGCAATACTGTCATGCTCAGAGTTTTTAAAATGTGGGTCTGGAGGGCATCAAATGCAGGTCCTCATACTGGGAAGGAAAGCACTTTGTCCATTGAGTTATCACCACTGCCCCTATTTTTAATCCTTTGCTGCCAGCCCAGGGCTTGGTGCTCAGGACTCCTCTCTCCTTGTTGGATTTGTGTGTTTGAGGAAGCATCTCATATAGGCCAAGCTGGCTTTGAACTTACTATGTAGCTAAAGCTGGCCTTGAACTCCTGATCTTCCTATGTCTATTTCTTAAATGCTGGGGTTATAGGTTTTTATTACCGTGCCTCTGGTCTCTGTCTCTCTTTTTTCTTTTTGGAGGCAGGATTTTGGATTTTGTCAGTTCAAGGCTTGTGGCAATTCTCCTGCTTCACTCAGCCTCTTGAGTGCTAGGATTAGAGGAGTCCAGGTGTTCTCCGCCCCCCTTGTTTTTTGTTTTGTTTTAAGGTTTCATTATCCTTGACTGTCCTGGAGCTTAGTATGTAGACTTGCCTGGCCTCAAACTTACAAAATCTACTTGGTTTTGCCTCCTGAGTGCTGGGATTAAAGGTGTGTGCCATTATTCCTGGCTTGGAAGGGTGTGTTCTCTTAGTAGTCTGCTTTTTCATCTTAATAGCCAGCTCCAGGTTCATGGGTTGGCTGCAAAGTCTAAGCTATGGATGGCAAATTCACAAATCATAGAGCTTTGGGGCCCTTCCTGAGACTGAGCAGAATGTGGGTGAGGACAGGCAACTTAAAAATGGCTCCAGATGGCTGTGGTATCTTTCTTTTGGTAACAAAATTGCCTTTTATAAATAATACTGGAAAGGCTAGATTCCAAAATGTCTTACAGTGGCTGGCCCTGTAGCTAGAAACCAAACCAAATAAAGTGTAAGGCCTTAGAAAAACAGACTTTTAGGTTTTAGGTTACTAGGTTGCTTTGGGGTGTTTTATTCCCTTAGAAAGAGTTCTGGGGATAGACCTAGAGCTAACATCTAATCATCTTGTCTTAGTCTCCAAGAGTGCTGGAATCACAGGTGTGTGCCATCATACCAGCCTTTTCTTTCTTCCTTTTTGTATTATTATTATTTTAAAGATACAGTCTCACTATGTAGCTCTGGCTGGCCTGGAACTTGCTGTGTAAACCAGATAGGCACGAATTCAGATATCTGCCTGTGTTTGCCTCCAAGTACTAGGACTAAAGGCATTCGAATGAACTCTGGCCTCTTTTTCCTTTTTAAGCTTTTCATAGGAGCATGTCAAGACCAATTCCATGTCATTTTCTTTGTGTTCCTGGGCCTGGCCACCTTCCACATCATGGTGCATCCTTCATGGAATGAGCGTACAGCCCTGCTCAACCCAACGGTGAAATGAAGGGCAGCCAGACATGGGAAAGCAGAGTTGTGGCACAGGGACTTAAATTTACCCAAGGTGAAGTCTCTCCCAAGTCATCCTGTAGACTGAAAACGATTCGGGGATGGGGGAGGGGGCGCCATTGAAAGCGCCCTTGTGCCACTTCAGAAATTTTAGTTCCTTTCTTCTCCGCTTATACGCTTCGGGGGAATGGTTTCCTGTGTACCGGGTGATTGAATACTTTCCTTAATCCCCAGGGGCTGTAACTGTTTCTTTTTTATTGGCTGAGAATGTCTAAGCTACCGGCAGTAGTAGCAATCCCGTTCAAGGCTTTGAGTCCAGAAAGCCAGTGCTTGTAGCACATAGTAGGTGTTCAGTGTGAGAACGACTCCGTGAACGTGACTTGTTTGACTGACTGTAGTATGCCTCCCCTCAGGCAGGGAATAAAATCCATCTCTAGATAATAAGACCCTCATGGTGTCCCGCGCCCCGTAATTAGGATCCCCAGGCCTTCGCTTTGTTGTGGGAGACCAACCAAAGGCTAAAAGTGCACCTGCTTCTTCAGTTGTCCTGGCAGGACCTCAGGATGCCTTGACATCACAACCGCTGGAGGTTCCTTCTCCAGGCTTTCCGGGAGCTGGGACCTGGAGGTGACCCCGGGCCGTAGCCAGAATTCACCCCAGGGGTTCCCATCCCAGGGACATGCGACTCCACGTGCCCAATATATTCTTTGCGCTTTGGTCCTGTGCAGTAGCCCCCGGATTGAACAGACTGCGTCCCTCGGCACCTACAGGCTTGCAGGGACAGGGGCCTTAATCACTGCCGCAGTCGCCCTCTCTTTCCGGCTTCCAGCCCGGGGCCACCTCCGCTTCGTAAGGCCAGCTGGCTAGGCGCCGCGCGCTCGCTCTCCTCCAGTCCTCTGCGCGACCCTCTCCTAGGCTTGCACTTTCGCGGCCGCCGCCCTCGCCCGGGCCGGCTGGGTGGAAGCCTCGCCCCGCCGCCCCTCCCCGGTAGAAGCCAGAGCTGCCAGCGCTAGCCCCAGGCTCCCGCGGGAGGGGGCGCGGCGGCCCCCACGGCTCCTCCCTCTCTGCGGGGCCGCGGCCATCTGGGGCCCCTGCCAGGCGCGTCCGCTCGGGGCCCGCGCCCAGCTCGCGCTGGAGGACAAGGAGGCACCCCGGGAAAGGATCCGGGCGGGCGCACCGGGCGGTCTCCAGCTGACCCGCCGCGGTGAGCTGCTCGCGAAGATGCCCCGAGGGGGCGGTGGCTGAGGCGCATCCTAGCAGACTGGACACGGGGGCCCGGTCACCTCGGCGACTCTTTCCAAGCCGGAGCGGCAGCTGCGGACGCGGCGGGGCGGGCCCGTGAGGGCGCTGAGGTCCGTGCTCCCCGCGTCCGTAACTGGCGCCCACTGCGGACTCGCCACCTCCCGCCTTCCCGCGCCAGCCCCCCGCGAGCTGGCAGGAGGAAATTGCGCGCGGCCCCTTTAAATTTACCCAGGAGCCCTTAAAGGAGCCCCAGGGGCCCCAGACAGGAATCCCCACCCCGGTCCAGCCCGAGCCGCCGAGCGAGCAGCCAGCCGTCCGTGCGGCCGGCCGCCCGTGAATGCGGCCCGCGTCCGGGGCCCCGCGCACCGAGCGCCCTGCGCGCGCCGCCGCCGGCTCCGCGGCCCCGCGCCCCGCCGCCCCGGGGCCCCCGCTCCTCGGCACAGCGCATGGAGCCCGGCGGGGACCACCGGAGCCGGAGCGGCGGCGGCAGGGGCGGCCCCGGGTCCGCAGTGTCCTCGGCACGGGGCCGACGGCTGCCGCCCGCTGCAGCGAGCGGCGGCGCGGAGACCGAGGAGGACGACGGCGGTAAGAGCTGGGCCCGACGGCCCGGGGCGGGGGCCCCGGCGTGGGGGAGGGGAGGGCTGCGGCTCCGGGCCCCTCTCGGCCGCCGAACAAAGCGGGGGACGAGCGCAGGGCGGCCGGGGGCGCCACCTGGCGGGCACGGAGCGCAGCTGCAAGGCCCGCGGGGCGCCCCCCGCCCGTGCCGGGGTCTGCCCGCCGGGCTGGGGCGGATCCCTCCTCTTTAAAGGGCCCCGCGGTGCCCACTTTTGGGGTACCAGCGACATGGGCCAGGAAGGCACTGGAACTCCCGGCCCCCGCCCCTTCTCTTTCAGACTCCCAAGTGGTCTTTTCAAAGGCCTCCCAGCCCCCACCACCCTCCCCTTCTAGGGCTTTCCCCAGAGTAGTATAGCTCGGGATTCCGCTATCTCTGGTGCGCTGTCCCTCTCCTGAGTGGCCTTGCTGGAGACGAGAACTCTTCCCTTCACGGTTGCACTAAGGGAAAAAATGCACAGCCTACGCCTTGGGCCCCCCTCTGCAGTCCCCCACGTCGGGAAGGTCTTAAGTAAGGGATGGATTCGCCCACGAAGGTGGATGCCCCCTCCTGCCGGTGCACTGCCGCGTTTCAGAATTTATTTTGGCCCCAGTTTGTCAGCTGTATCAGGACCGGCCGATCCTCGTCGTCCCTCAAAGCCTGCTGTTTGTTTTGTCTTCCTGCTGAAGGGTTCCTTGCCTTTATCAGTGGAAGGCCCCTAGCTCACTAGGGAGATTTCCCCTCTCTCTGAGCTCTCCTCCTCAGAAGCCCCCATCCCCTTTTGTTTTTAAAGACTCTCAGCTCCTCCTTTTTCTTTCCTATTTTTTTTTTTCTTTCTGCTCTTAAAGGGCCAGTCTGCCTTAGACTTACAGGGCTCCCGCATGGCAAGGATGCTTAGTAGGGTGCTAGCTATTCAGCCAGTCAGTGCATTTGTAGACAAAGGCGCTTAGGCCCAGAGAGCGGACATGACCTACCAAAGGTCATGGAGCAAGTCACCAGTGAAGCCAGATGTTGAACCTAGTATTATTTTCTATAGCTCTACTTAAAAATAAATAAATAAATAAAGATAATGAAAACAAAAGAAAACTCCACACAAGGACAGGAGCTTTCTCTGATCCTGTCTTTTGTTGGTCTGACTCTGGGATTTTGTACTGAGAGAATGACCAGAACCAGCCTATCTAGTCTTTGTGGCCAGGAGACCATTTTCTTTAAAAAAAAAAAAAAAAAGGGTCAGCCAGCTCTGCAGGGAGGGTAAGGTAGGGATCTGTGTCTTTTTGAGAAAGTATAGGAATACCAGTGGGTTGGTGGGGCCCAGAGATGCCCTCAGTTCTGATGGCTGGGCAGTAGTCAAACCCCTGTAGCCAGCCCCAATGAGGCAAACGCCTAGGAAGCCATAGTAGTTTGATGGGTGGTGACTGCACCCCTATCTGCATATGTATGTTCAGTAGTCACTCTGGTGGCTGTCCTGCCCTACCTTCCCTTTTCAGGGCCATTGCTTCCCCCCAGCCCCCATCTACCCACTCTGGGGAAGTCTGGGTTTGAGAAGCTCCTTTTCCTGGAGGTATTGACACCTTTGTGTTAGGTGTCCCCCAGTGGGAAAGCTGATATGACATACCCCATCCCTAAACTGCTATTTCCAGGAGGGCATATGTGGAGTATTACTGGGAAAGGACCTTTGGGTGGGGCCCTCCTGGTGGGGCTGCAGGTGGGTGAGTCTTGTCCACAGATGTGGGTGCACACAGACATCCCTTTTCTTCCCCTCTGCCTACTGCTTTCTCCATTCTGTGACTGCCCAGCTTGCTGATGTAGCTTTACCCCTGCCTGTAGCTCTGTGCACTGGCACCGTCCTGGCCTTCTGCAGGGAGCTCACACAGTACTCCTCCTTTTGTTCTTCGCCCTCTCGCTGCCCCTGCTCTTTGTGAGGGTGCTTTGACTCCCTCACTACCCACCTCCCTTTCATTGCTCTTGCCGTCCCTTCCTGGCCCTAAACTCCCCTCCCCCACCTCCCTTTCTCATGCTTCCAAATCAAAGCCTTGAGTCCTTTCCCTGGAAATTGGAGATTGAGAGCATGTCTCCCTTTTCCCTTCTTCAGGACAAGCTCTTCAGCTGGAAGGGGGTGCCTTGGGGTCCTGGGGGAGTACCCCCCTACCCTCCTCCAGGGCCAGGGGACCGGCATCTTCAGGCAGGAAATACTCAGATCATTGTGAGGCTCGGGCCTCGAGGCCTGGGAAGAGCCGCATCCCTGGCAGGGACCATCGACGCTACTACCATGACCACTGGCGACTGGAGTACCTGATGGATTTCATCCCCTCCCGGCATGGCATGGTGTGTATGGTGTGTGGCAGCTCCCTGGCTACCCTCAAGCTCAGCACCATCAAGAGACACATCCGCCAGAAGCATCCCTACTCCCTCCATTGGAGTCCCCGAGAGAAGGAGGTCATCAGCAACAGCTGGGACGCCCACCTGGGGCTGGGCGCCTGCGGTGAGGCTGAGAGCCTGGGGGCCCAGGGGGCTGAGGAGGAGGAAGAGGATGAAGAGGAGGAGGAAGGGGCCAGCCTTCAAGCTTGCCCACCCAAGGGCTCAGGTAATAGACTATGGAGAGGCAGAGGATTGTGTGTCATGGGGCTGGGCGAGGTGGTGGTGGTGGGCAGTTTTTCTGCTCTCTAGCTATTTAGTTTTTATTTTTTGAGGAAGTCTCTGTCCCTTCTTTGGGTAGATTCTGTTTACTGCTCTTACTGTTGAGTGTGGGGAGGGATAGTGGTGTGGGGGGCAGTTTCCCCGCGTCCTTGACAGCCTTGATACTCTGGAAGGAGCTAGGAGCGGTGGGAGGGGTAAGTTGAGGAAAGGGCTGTGAGTTGCTGGGGAAGCTGGGGTGGGGGGACAGTGCAGCTCAGGGAAGGGGCTAAAATCTGGGCTGAGGGAGGCTGGGTGGAGCTTTGAGTGAACTGGAGGGTTGGGGAGAGCGCTGTCAGTGAAGGGAGTGGGTGTGGTGTCACGTGCCTGTAATTTCAGTACCAGGAAAGTGAGCATCCGTAGTTTAGATGGTGTTGGCTACACAGGGAGTTTGAACCCAACCTAGACTGTATGAATTTCTGTCTAAAAAACAGAAAAGATGTTAAGAGAAGAGGGAAAGTAGGCAAAGGTCAGCCATCGGATTTGAGTGAGAAAGAGGCTGTGTGTGGAGCACCTGACTGTGGTGGGGGACTCCCCTAGGCCCGGAGTCTCAGTTGCTTCCCTCCAACCCTTTCAGGCAAAGCCCCAGCTGGTGGGGCCTGCCGGCGCCAGCGGCGAGGGGTTCGAGGGGGCACAGTGGCACCTCGGCGCCGGCGCCTTGCCGCCTCCAGAAGGGCTGGGGGCAGCAGGGGTCTGGGGGCCCGGCGCCTGGAGCGGAGGCTGAAGGAGTCCCTGCAGAACTGGTTCCGGGCCGAGTGTCTCATGGACTACGACCCACGGGGGAATCGGCTGGTGTGCATGGCCTGTGGCCGGGCACTGCCCAGCCTGCACTTGGACGACATCCGTGCTCACGTGCTGGAGATGCACCCCAGCTCCCTAGGGCTCAGTGGCCCCCAGCGCAGTGCCCTGCTGCAGGCCTGGGGTGACCAGCCTGAGGCTCTGTCCGAGCTCACCCAGTCCTCACCAGGTGCGAGGCTGTCCCAGGGCTGAGACCCCTTCTCTATTAGGGCGGCAGCATGGGAGCTGAAAACAAAATTGGGAGGCAGGGACATTTGGTTGAGGGCTGGCTACTTTCCCTCTACACACAGACTCGCAACTCTCCACCCCTCTCTCTCTGGCTGGGGCCGCCTAGCTTGGGGCCGGGGTGAGGAGCAAGGATGGAACCCCCTTGTGTGGGTAAGGGCAACCCAGCCAACAGGCTGAGCCCTTCTCCTTCACCCCTTCCCCAACAGACGATGACCTCGTCCCCCAGGACCTGACCAGAAAGAGCCGGGACTCCGCCCCCGCTGCTGGAGCCCCCTCCTCTCAGGATCTCAGCCCCCCAGACGTAAAGGAAGAGGCTGGCTGGGTCCCTGAGAGGCCCGGGCCGGCAGAGCAGGAGGAGGAGGGCGAGGAGGGCGAGGGCGAGAGGGCGGGCAACTCGGTCCGGCCTCGGAGGGGCCGAGACTATCGTCGCCACTACCAGGATCGCTGGCGGCTGGAGTACCTCATGGAGCTGGACGGCTGCCGGCGCGGCCTGGTGTGCATGGTGTGCGGGGGCGCGCTGGCCTCGCTCAAGATGAGCACCATCAAGCGACACATCCGCCAGCGCCACCCGGGCTCCACCAGCCTCAGCGGGCCAGTCAAGGCCCTCATCGCCCAGGAGTGGAGCGAGAAGGCCGCACACCTGCTGGCCCTGGGGCTGCCCAGCCCGGAGTCCCCCAGCGACCCTGTCGCCCCCGGCACAGCCTCGGCCTCTGAGGAGGGGGGAGGGGCAGAGGAGGCGGAGCCAGAGGAGTGGTGGGGTGAGCCTGTGGAGGGCCTGAGCCGCGGGCAGGGACCGAGGGCTCGGAGGGAAGGGTGGTGAGAATGGAAGGATGCCGGGAGAGACGGGCGGATGGGGCAGAAGGACCAGTGGAGAGTAGGGACTGGGCCAGATACCTGCCACCCGCTCTAAGGCAGCCCTTTGTTCCTCCTCAGGCGACGGGCCACCGTCCCCCGGGGCGCCATCGGAGCGGCCCGCCGAAGAAGAGGAAGATGAAGATGACGGCCAGGAGCCCGGGGGGTTGGCTTTCCCGCCGCTACCATTGCCACCGCCACCACCTCCCCCTCCGCCGCCGCCGCGCAGCCGGGAGCAGCGGCGCAACTACCAGCCGCGCTGGCGGGGCGAATACCTGATGGACTACGACGGCAGCCGGCGCGGCCTGGTGTGCATGGTGTGCGGGGGCGCGCTGGCCACGCTCAAGGTGAGCACCATCAAGCGTCACATCCTGCAGGTGCATCCCTTCTCCATGGACTTCACCCCAGAGGAGCGCCAGACCATTCTGGAGGCCTACGAGGAGGCTGCACTGCGCTGCTACGGCCATGAGGGCTTTGGGTCACCGGCCCCGGCGCCGCGGGACGGCGGTGCGGAACTCAAGCCGGGCGCGGTTTGTCGCGCGTAGAATTCCCTGCGCTGGCCTGGCCCTTGGGCTGAGAGACCCTGATGTCAGGCGCTGGGGTCCCCCGCTGGCCGGGCTGGGCCGGGGTTGGGGAGGCGCTGCCGCTGTCCCTCGGTGACATTCTGATGTGCCGCTACTCCCCACGATGCTGGTGCGCGCTGGCCGGGGGGTCCCGGCACTCTTCGCGCGGGCCCCGCGTTTCTCGAAAAGCCAAAGCGCCTCTCCAGTGTTCACAGCGAACGTTCCAGGCCGCGCCCAAGGGCGCAGTGCTGCCAGACCGGGGTGGGGAGGTGCCCGAAATCAGTATTAGGGTGGAAGGCAGGGCGCTCGTCCTGACCGGGGGCCCAGTTCTATGCGGCCTCGCCCGCCCGCCCGCGGGTGCGGCTCTCGGCTCCCAGGTTGCTGGCTGTTGGGTCCAAATTGGTATTCTTGGCCTCCTAGAGGCGCGGGCGGCGCATTGGGACCTGCAGCGGGCGGAGCGTTGAAGCCCCGTCAGCTGAGCCGGCTTCACCGGGTGGCTCAGGGGACCGCGCATCCATGCTGTTGGGACCGAGTCATAAAGGGATTAGCACTTTTTTCCATAGCCTCTCCTGCTCAGAGAGCTTCTCTTACCCACCCAGTGAAAGCGGCAGGGACACTCTAGGCCCAGTGCCAGCACGGTGCAAAGCCCGGGGTACTGGGGCAGTGGTGTCTATTACTGCCCCCACTGAACGTGATTTGTCCTCGGTGGATGCCACATCGGTTCTCAGCGCCCCAGGGCTTGAGGCCGGCCTTGGCTTCTTTTGCTTTTACCCTTGGTGCCAGAAGGGCCCCTCAATCTCCCAGGCAGGTCCGAGAGGGATGTGTAGATTTCATTCTCCCGTGGAGAACAGGTGGTCCCGAGATCAGGCCCTTTTTTGCTCTTTGTATTTTATTTTGAAACTGTATTTAATGCTTTTTTATATGAAAGGGAGAGGGGAACTGGCCCAATCACCCTTACGTGCAAATGTCTTATTTATTATGCGTGTATCAGAGATAAGCTGTGAGGTGGAGGAGGAAAGATGAGTGTGGCCAGGGGATTGGGAGGATACTAAATATCCCATGTTCCCGGGCCTTGTTTCTAGGTCCAGTGTCTGCTCTTCACTAAGGGAAGCCACTGCAGGCACTGTGCCCTCCTTTTAAAGTCAGGGTGCAGTGGTCAGAGCATGGGACTTGGGAGGGGCCCTGGGTTCTGGGGCCTTTGTGGCCCCTGTGGTGAGAAAACAAGAAAAATAAATCCTTTCTCTCACCTGCCAGAGCCAGAGTTCAAGGTTCAAGTGCCTCAGGCCCAGTTCCCCAGACTTCCTGGTCGAGTTGGATTTTATACCACGGATTTTATAGCATTTTTATATAATTCAAGGTTGCCAGTGGGAAGGGACCCTGGAGATCACAAATTGACCCCTTTCAGAGAGAGGAGCAAAATTCCAAATCCCAGAAATTATTACTTAGCCAGCTACGAACAGATCAAGAGCTAGAATTAAAATCTCAACTCCTAGTTCCGTGAGCTTTGCAACTGTATTACACTGCTTCCGACCTGGCAAGTTACCAAGGTTTCTTTGCCAAGGTGTAGTGTGTTGGGCACTGCAGGCCCACAGACAGCACTTGTGACTCCCGAGGGCAGCAAAACATTGCTTCACCACTGCAGGCCTGCGAGGGGTGGGGCCTACCTCGCCTGGGACCAAGGTTTCTCCAGCAGAAGGTGGCAGAGTATTAGTGCTAGTTTTGAAGCCATTCGGTATTCTGGAACGGCTCAGTTAAATTACAGTTTTGACCAGCCAGGGGTTTGGAGACTTGTAAAATCTTGAAAACAGAGATTATGGATTGTGCCACGCTGGACACTGACCTTTTTTACTTTTCATCATGCATGTTTTTAAACTAAGAGTGATTCTCACCTCTACACTTTTTAGAAACAGGCAGAATTGGAGCTGCTGATTGTCATCCCTACAGCTCACTGCTAAAGCTCACTGCTTAAGTCTGGGTTGATGGGGCAGAAGTTATAGATGGTTTTCCACTTGAGAGGAAGCCCCCAGGCTAGCGTCATTCTAGGCACCCTTGGGCCCACCTGCTGACTGTCACAAGGATGGGACCCACAATGCATTTTGATAGGGCTTTCCCATACAGCTGCAGTGATTGATTCTACCATGACTGGACCTGTGGCCCAAGGGTCAAGGGGTTGGTGGGTCTCCTCCCTCAGGATTCTGATTGAACAGGTGAAATTCCTTCATTGTTTTGTTAATGGTATGCTTGCTATTATGGCCCATATGTAAATGTTACTCTGGATACATATTTATATGCCATGTTACTTAGTGACACTATTCAAACATTTGTATGTGTATTTGTGAAGTTGTTTGCATCAGTCATTTAAAAAGTATTTCAGCTTAAGTTTTCCCAAGAGTTATGTTGAATAAAGTCTTAAAAGTCCAGCATGAGTTACAGCCAACTTAGTCTTGGGGCAGAGCGAGTGAGATGAGTTCTGATGTCAGACCAGATGTGCCATGACCAGCTCAGTTTCAGCTTTTGGCTGCATGTGGATTACAGCCTGCTTCCTATGGTAAGTGGGGACCCTTCCTATTCCCAGGCTGGTGAGAGGCTGAACCAGGCCCTTTCACCTGCCACTTCTAAGATCACCTTTTACAGGGTCTCTAACTCATTTTAGAAACCAAATGCAGGGCAGCTTTGCTCAGTGCTGTGTGAATCCTTGCAATCTTGGAAGTTTGTTTAGAAAGTTCCTGGAATGAGGGTGGGAGTGAGTGAAAGACTTTTGCTCTCATTTCACCCAAACTGTAAAAAGAATAAAGTTGCATACTGATGAGACAGTCACTGTGTTCTTTATTTATAATACATCAATTTGCAATTTTACAGGGACCAAAAGAGCTCCTTGAGGCTACTGTATTTTTATGTTGCACGCACAGACACGTACACAATTTCATTAGTAACTTTTTCATCTATAGATTTTTCTTAAAAGAAAAATTACTATGTGGCACAAAAATCTTTCCAATTATTTTAACACAGCAGCAACAAAGAAAAGAGCAAGGTGTGGAGGCTTCCAGTGCAGAATGGGGTCCCTAGTTGGGAAGCCCCAAAGACCATCAGTGCATTCATTTCCTGGGAGGGCAGAGGATGGTGATGGAGTGTTTTCTACAATGGAAACCAAAAATTCAAGATGAACAAGGGCAAAGAAACTAAGAAAATGAAGTAAGGCAATCAAAATCCTTAAGTCATTTCCCAAAAGGAGGGGAAAGAGGTTCCATTCCTATTTTTACAGTCACAGAATTTTATGATCATTGAAGATGACATAACCTTTGAGGCCCCAGCTTTTCCTCACAATAGGTAGGGCTCAGAACTGAAGGATCCCTTGGATGCCAGTTTATGAGCTGACTGGATTTCCTTGCTGAAGGCAATGCATCAAGATCCCCCAGTCAATCATAAATTATTCTGTTGTCTATCAACATCTCCTGGTCCTGCTTGGCCACCCACCACCTAAAACTTCTTGAAAATACTCTCCAAATGAGCACTGTGGGCCATGGTAGGAACTATGTCATAAATGTGTCTGAAAATGGAGATTCCCCTCAGAACAGCACCCACTCACCTCCCCCTCGGTTAACTGAGGCCTCTAAACTGCGGACACATGACCTGCAGCCAGTAGGGCTTCAGTCCTCAGGCTGAACTTAAACCGCACAGGTGGAAGCAGCAGGGAAGACACAGGAAGGCTTTCTGTGTTCCTGTACCTCACTCCCCACAGACTAAGATAGGATTACAGTAACTCAATGGCTGGGAGCCCACATGCAAATTATTTTTCTTAAGTTTATAGCAGTGTACAGCAGTTACAGACATTTATTTCATAATAAGAAAAGTACAACCATATTTATTAAACTTGAGGTAAGGTGGGCAAGGAAAAGAGGGAGAAGCACATTCTGGAATGATTTCTCAAACCAACACTTACATTGGTATCCCAGACCAATGGCTTGGACACTGGCCTCTCAGCTGGCAGAGCCCTTCCTCCCCTAGAAGAGCAGCAGGAGGGTGGCTGCTGCCCTCCCACTGACTGCTCCACCCCACTCTGTCCCCTCCATACTTCTCAGATGGCATTCTGGGAAAAGGGAATTACCTCTATCACCTGTAAGTTATTTAGAGTTGACAGTTCTATCATTAAGAAGAAGAGCAGTAGGAGTGGCTTCTTATTTGTAAGGCAGGAAAGTGGGACTGGAGGGCCGCACAAACCCAATGGAAGGAATCCCACTCCTGCCCCAGACAATTCATAAGTTAATCATTATTTCCTAACTAAAAATACAGGCAAAAATATAAATGGGAACTGATATGAGTCCTTGAAACTGGATAGAGGACCCTAGAGACATTTCTCTTTTTCTCCTTTCATGGTACAGGTAAAAGCTCCACCACTGTTATGTTCTGATTAATTCTATTAATTTGATTCACTATTCTTTTGGGTTCTAAGAGATCAGTTCTTTTTTTTTCAGTCTAACACGTCTTGTGCTTGGTACTGAGGGTAAAGGGAAAGGAGGGGAGAGAACACCAAATTAAAAAGAACAAACAACTTGGAACCAGGCTCAAGCTGACACTGAGCAAGTTCCTTCATGGTACAAGTGACGATGTTATAACTATTAAATGGCGTTTTAGTAACTGTTGCACTTCTGGCTTCCATGTGCTTATTCTGCCTTTTTTTTGGCGATTCCGGGAAGCTTTGCTTGGATCCTATTAAGGAAAGAAGAAGGAAACTGAAAATATTTGTTTTAAATATGCATTTCTTCTAGGTTTGTATTTCTTCCAGGATATCAGGTAGGGCTCCCACCACACTGTCCTTTGAACTCACATTGAGATCTACCTGCTTCTGCCTCCCAAGTCCTGGGATTACAGATGTTTACCACAATGCCAGGATCTAAGCTTTACTTATTTACTACAAAAGACAAGGGAAGAGTTGCCTTAACTTGGGATACATATGAGAATAAAATAGGATTAAATAACCAAAAATTATTTGACAGCCAAAGTATTTCCCTTGATAACTTCTTTCCTGATAGCTTAAGGATAGGATATTTAAGTTCAAGGCCAGCCTGGGCTATATAGCAAGACCCTGTCTCTAAAGCAAACAAACAAACAAACAAACAAAAAAACCCCCCAAGAACCCAAAAATCAAACCAAACAAACAAAAAGAACCCCAAGAAAACCCCAAAACCAAAACAAAACTGAATTCAACAAACGAAACTACCATAACAACAAAATCCAAAGATAATGATGGTGCTCCCCCCCCACCCCCCCCTCCCCCCCGACAGGGCTTCTCTGTGTAGCCCTGGCCGCCCTAGAACTTGTTCTGTAGACCAGGCTGGCCTTGAACTCACAGAGACCCTCTGCCTCTGCCTCTCGAGCACTGGGATTAAAGGCCTGTGCCACCACTGCCCAGCCCAAAAGACGCTTCTTAACAAAAGGCTCAAATAAATAAAACTATCTCAGGGTGAAAATTAGTTACTTTTGACAGTAACAGTTTATAATGCAGAGTAGAAATTATGGGGGGAGAGGTAGAGTAAACATAGGAAATGGTGAACATGGTCTTTAAGTGCACTTACTTTTCAACAATTGACTTGGTCTGATCCCGGGCAATCCCAACATAGTGATCAATCTGCGTCTTCAAGAAAGAAAGAAAGAAAAAAAAAAAGAAAGGAAGTTAGACTCAGACTCAGTTGAGCAACATACAAGCTAAGAATTTTCTTGAAGGCTTCCCCCCCCCCCCCCCAACCAAGACAGGGTTTTGCTGTTCTGGAACTCACTCTGTAGACCAGCTAGCCTCGAACTCAGAGATCCATCTGCTTTTGCCTCCCAAGTGCATGGATTAAAGTCATGCACTACCACAGCCTGGCTACCTTTTTTAATTACATTATTCTTTCACATAATGTATTTTGTTAATATTCTCTCTTGCCCCATTAAAAACTCTACTAGTCACTATTCTAGAAAATAAAAATGTCTAGATTTCAAAGAATTATAAATTTTTAATTTCAGATTTCAATTTATGCAACACTTCAAAATAAAAATCACCTCTCATTTGTAGAAATAGGACATAAGTGATATTTCCTTTATTAACACTGAAGTACATTTTCTGAGTACTTGAAACTGCAGATTTAATCTACTTTTTGTAGTTATGTGTTATGGTTCCCAGGCATGATTAACTCATTTAATATTAAAAAGCCCAAAATCAACTTTCTCTATATAGCATCTCTTCACCTTCCTTTTTTGGAAAGAATAATTCTCCCCATGACACAGAACATCTATCCTAGGCCTCCAGTCTTGCTGGAAGACAAGACTCTCAGTCTATTACTTTCCTTAAAATGAATTGAAGCCAGTCGCACATTACTTAGCATACCTGTTTCCAGACAATTGCCTACCTTATACTTCTCATAGACAATTGGGACGCTGAAAACAAGCAGCTCAGCTGTAAGACAGAATCAAAAAATGGCAAGTGCAAATGTGAGAGACTCAAGCAACACAGATAGAGAGAAACAGGAGGACAGCTAGGAGAGAACAGATCAGGGCAGTGTTAAAAACCCACACAGGCTGCTTTCTTTGTATGACAGGAATCAATTTCTAAAATACAAAAGTGGTTTCTAAACAAATCTAAACAATCTTTTACTTAACAGTTACTTTAAAATTCCCCCCTTCCCCACAGGGTTTTTCTGTGTAGCTCTGACTGTCCTGGAACTCATGCTGTAAACCAGGCTGGCCTTGAACTCAAGAGATCCTCCTGCCTTTGCCTCCCCAGTGCTGGGATTTTTAAAAGCATGAGTCACTACTTCCCAACTCACTTTGAAATTTCTTTGTCAGACCATCTAATAAAACACAGAGCCAGGAGCCCAGGTTACTCCAATCTCTAACACACACTGTAGACATCAAGAGGCTGGCCATGTGGGATAAGTGGGTATGCCGAGCACATGCTCTTTAGACACACTCTACCCTGGGCTATTATTATGTTTTGTTTTTGTTTTTTTGAGACAGGGTTTCTCTGTATACCTTTGGAGCCTGTCCTAGAACTCACTCTGTAGAGCAGACTGGCCTCAAACTCAGAGATCCACCTGCCTCTACCTCTCAAGTGCTAGGATTAAAGGCATGTTCAGTGACTGACTATTTTTTTTTTTTTTTTTTTTTTTTTAAATTGAGGGTCTCATGTGTCCCAAGTGGGCCTAGAGCTCATTATGAGGTTTAACATAATGAATTCCGATCCTTCTGTTTCTATCTACCAAGTGCTGGGATTATAGGTGTGTACCATTATGCCTGGCATCCCCAACCCCTATTATAATTTTTATTTGAGACAGAATCTTATTAACTTGCTGGTACAGGTTCGATCCTTCTGCCTCAGCTTTTTGAATAACTGTGATTATAGATCTGTACCATTTGGCCCAGAATTTACATTTTAGTCTTACAGACTACTTCAAGAAATAAACATACAGACACACTTTCCTTGTCACCTTACCAAGAATCAGAAGGGTGATTCCATTAAAGACAGCACCAACGTAGGTCATCAGCCACATGAAGACAGCCAGCTGTGAAGTCCAATGTCAGAGGGTTAAGCAAGAATAATGTAACTCAGAGTTCAGGCTAACTAGGCCTACATAAATGCAGTGCTGTATTACACTCTGTATGACCTGCACTTTATAGTCAGAAAACTGTCACTGTCTTGGGTGCTGAGCTGATGACTGCTGTTTTAATGCTGTTCTTAAGAGGGAGGCAACAGCTTTTTCTGTTGACACCTACCTCCCCTTTTAACAGGCTTTCTCTTTCTTAATAAAATCCTGTATTCCCTGTTTTACCTCTGAATCATAGCCTAGCAACCAACCTTCAAGGAGTCAACCAGATCTTCTACCAGAAAGAGACGAATGATGAGTTTGAGGGCTCTGTTGACATGCACCATTGCAGCATTCATGTAGTTGTGGAAAGCCTCTGAGGACAGGGTAATGTCCACATCCAGGTAGGCCCTTCCAAAGAAGAAGAAACAGTCACACATAAGACACATAAAGGAAAATTCTTCAATGACAACAGCATTTTGTTTTTTCAAGACACGGTTTCTTTGTGTAAAAGTTCTGGGTGTCCTGAAATTCACTGGGGAGGCCAGGCTGGCTTCAAACTCATTGAAATCCACCTGCCTCTGTTTCCTGGAGTGCTGGGATTAAAGGCATGGGCCATCACTGCCTAGCCACAGTGTTTTTTTTTTTTTTTTTTTTTTTTTTTTTTTTTTTTTTTTTTTTTTTTAATGAGAAACTGGCATTCTAGAAATCTGTAGGGGACACAGTTGTCCTTTAGTGGATAACAGCAAATATGCCAATTATCTATGAAATTGTAGGGCTTTCATGTATAATGAAGGACTATCTAAAATGGAAATATCAAAATACATTCTGTGGGAATGTAGATCAGACAGCAGAAGACTTTGCCTTGCACACATGAGATCCTGGGTTCAATCCCTAGTATTATAAAACAAGCAAAAACCTAAAATCCATTTGTATGTGTGTATGCCTTGCATGTGAAGGTCAGAGAACAACTCTGGGTGTCATTTCTCTGGCACTGTCCACTAATTTTTTTTGTTGTTGTCTATTTTTTGTTTCTCTGCATTAATAGATCTGGCTGTCCTAGAACTCCCTCTGCAGACCAGTTTGGCCTCAAGTTCACAGAGATCTGCTTGCCTCTACCTCCTAGCTGAGATTAAAGGCATGCACCACCACCTCCTGGCTCTGTCCACCATTTTTGTAAAACTTTTTTTTTTTTTTTTTTTTGAGACAGTTTCCCATTGGCCTGGAATTCACTAATCAGGATAAGCTAACTGGCTAGTAAGCCCTAGAGACCTGCCTATCTCCTCCTCCCCTATACAAGTGAGCACCTTCTTCTAGCTTTCTAAAATAAATTGTTTTATTTTTAACGTACATACATACGTGTGTGTGTGTGTGTGTGTGTGTGTGTGTGTGTGTGTGTTGTGATGGTTTGAATGAAAATGGCCTACATACATGATCATAGGGAGTGGCACTATTAGGAGGTGTGGCCTTTTGGAAGAATATGTCACAGGAGGTATGTTTTGAGGTTTCAGAAGCTCAAGCCAGGCCCAGTAGCACATACTCTTTTCCTGTTGCCTGCTGATTCAGACGCTGAACTCCCAGCTCTTTCTCCAGCACCATATCTGCCTTCATGTCACCATGCTTCCTGCCTTGATGATAATGGACTAAACCTCAGAACTGTAAGCCAGCTCTAATGAAATGTTTCTCTTTATAAGAGATGCCATGGTCATGGTGTCTTTTTACAGCAACAAGACATTGACTAAGAAAGTGTATGTTTCTACACATGTACAACACCACGGTACACGTGTAGAGTTCAGAGGATAGCTTGTGGCAGTTGGTTCTCTCCTTCCACCATGTGTGTCCTGGGAACTGAACTCAGGTTATCAAGCTTAAAGGCAAATACCTTTACCTGCTAAGCATCATCTCTCTGTCTAAGAAAGACCCTTAACATGTTCCAGAACACCCAGAGCTATATTGACAAACCTTGTTTCAAACAAGCACCATCAAAACAAAAACTAAAAGAAAAAAGAGGGTAGGGACTACAGCTCTGTGGTAGAGCAGTTACCTAGCATACATAAGGTTGTGGACTCAATCCCCAATTAAAAAAAGGGGTGGTGGTGGTGGTAAGAAAGACTTAAAATGGTAGTGATCATGAATATGCTAGGGCTGGAAATTACACAACACACTCTGTATTTTGTTCTTAAAGGGTGAGATTTAAAAAAAAAATGGGTGTGGATGTGTGCAGGGAAAGAGAGTAACTACATAGCCCTGGATTGCCTAGAACTTATTATATAGATAACTCTAGCCTGCACTTAAAGTGATCTGCTTCCCAAATGCAGCAATTACAGGTGTGAGCCACCATTCCTGGCCACCTTGTCCTGAGATGTAACCCTGAACTCATTCTTTGTTTATTAAGAAAGTATCAAAAAGCTGGTCTGTGGTGGCACATGCCTTTAATCCCAGCACCCAGGAGGCAGAGGTGAGTTCAAGTCTAGCCAAGGCTACACACAGAAACCCTGTCTTGAAAAACCACACACCCACACACCACACATACACACTTACAAAAAGAATTTAAGGGCACACATGACTTAAGTTATCCCTTCTATTTCTCAACAGAATGTACAAACACCAGCAAGGAACCAGCGGGCTATTCCAGAGGTCATAGCAGGGGCTCTTTCTCTGACACAAAGGGTTTTTATTTTATCTTTTTTTTATTTTTGGTTTTTTGAGACAGGGTTTCTCTGTGGCACCCTGACTGCTCTAGAAGTCACTTTTTAGATCAGGCTAGCCTCGAACTCGAAGCCCTCCCGAGGGCTGGGATTAAAGGCATGTAACACCACTACCAGGAGACAAAGAGTTTTTAAAAGATTGGGACTAGAGAGATGGCTCAGTGGTTAAGAGCACTGGTCATTCTGCAGAAGACCTGAATTCAATTCCCAGCACCCACAAGGCAGCTCACAACCTGCAACTACAGGTCTGGAATGCCCTCTTCTGGCCTGCAAGGGCACCACACACATATATTGTACAGACATACAAAGCAGGCAAAACACCCACATACATAAACAATAAAATAAAGGTTAAAGAGCACTGGCTGCTCTTCCAGAAGACCTGAGTTCAATTCCTGGCACCCACAGGCAACTCTACAGTTCCAGGGGATCCAGACACTTAAAAAAAAAAAAAAAAAAAAAAAAGGCTCCCAGACTCAGGGAAACTATACAAGAGCTAAAGTAAATTAGAAATATAATTCAGAATTAACACTGAGAAAAGTCCTGGTTCTAGTATTAGGAGTTCTAAGTTGTTTCTGGGCTTTACTATATAGGGCTGAAACATGAAACAGTAGACAACCCTGGGCAAGCTAGTTTGTACCCTGCTCGGGATTTGCTTAGATACTAACCCAATCACTTCTTAGGGTGAATGCAAGGCATTTAGAGGATATTTCTGTCATCAATCAGCTGCAGGAGGTAGGTCAGAACTTCACATCTGAGCAATCTCAGCAAATCATGGATTTCAACTTACTTGAATGGATGGCCTTCTTCTGACTTCTGCACAGCTTGAATGACAGACTTGTAGACTCTGAAGCTGATGGTGACGGAGAGAAGAGCCAGGATGAGGTAAGAGACCACACTGATGACACTGAAAGCTGCCAGCGAGAGCAGCATGATCAGCGTGGTGCCAAAGACAAAGCCGGTCTTCTTCACATCTCGCCAGAAAATCAGATCACGTACTGCCAAGAGAGGGAGCAGAAGTTAGAGAACCCAGGGCCCTACCTGTGGCTATACATGCTGCAGAGCAGAATGTTAACCAGCAAATATATGCACTGTGCCCACTATAGAGATGAGAGACCAAGCATTTATTATGGCTACTGGGTTCACTGGGGTAAAGTGTAATCAACTGTAAACTTTTTTTTTTTTTTGGCAGAAAAGATAATAAACAAGGTTCACCAAGCGAGGTCTTGGATTCTACAGGGAGTAGGGGTGATAAGGGTAGCACAGATAGAAACATCTTGACAGCTGCTGACTACATGAAGCAAACAAGTCAGACAATATATGTCAGGAGGCTGAGACAGGAGGATCACTGGAGCCTACAGTTCACCAGAATAGACAACATAGCAAGACCCCATCTCAATCATTCCATTAAATTAGACAATGCTTATAAAATGGTTAGATCCCAGACCCAAAGCCAGCACTGTGTGGAATGTACCAGTTGGGGTAAGAGAGAAAGTAGTGACAAAAACAGACCATCCTACTTGAAATCAAACACAAGTCTTTGTCGTTTATTATTTTTTGTGGCTGGAGAGACAGCCGTGGGCAGTTTTTGTCTTAATCTGAAAATAGAAGAGCTATAAGTAAGAAGAGCTATAAGAGACTATGTACTTACCTGAACCACAATGTGTGTGCATGCATAAGACTGAGAAATCCAGGGCCTAAGACTGAGAAATCCAGGGTCTTATGAATGCTGAGTAAAACCACTTTCCTACTGAGCTACGTATTTGTGGCCCTTTGAGGTACTGTTTTTGAAATAATTTTCAATTGATACATTTGGGTGTGGTGCATATGTGTGGAAGCCAGATGCTCCAGTATCTTTTTTTAAAAAAAAGATTTATTTATTGTGTATATAGTATTCTGTCTGCATGTATGCTTGCAAGCCAGAAGAGGATACCAGATCTCATTATAGATGGTTGTGAGCCACCATGTGGTTGCTGGGAATTGAATTCAGGATCTCTGCAAGAGAAGCTAGAGCTCTCTTAACCACTAAGCCATCTCCAGCCCCTTCTGGTGTCATTTTTCAGACAGGTTTTCTTTGTTTCCCTGGGTGTCCTGGAACACACTCGGTACAGCAGGCTGGCCTCACAGAAATCTGCCTGCCTTTCTTTGCATCCTGAGTGCTGAAATGTAAAGATAAACAAGCCAGGCAGTGGTGGTGCACACCTTTAATCCCAGTGCTTGGTTGGATCACTGTGAGTTAAGAGGCCAGCTAGGTCTACAAAATGATTTGCAGACAGCTAGGATTGTTAGACAGAGAAACGTCGTCTCAAAAAAGCAAAACAACAAAAACCATGGTCTTTCACTGTTCTGGAGTTTGTTAACAGGTTATGCTGAGCCCCAGTGTTGCCATACCTTGTTCATACAAATAAAGCATGGCTATAGCTTGTTCCTTCTGCCCCACATTGGGCAGCAATATGCAACATGAGTTCTAATAGGTCTTAATAATAAAAGCCCAGAGTCAGATAGGGGAAATGCTGAGAGGAATCACAAAGAAGGAGCAAGCCAAAGTCACCTTTACCTCACTAGTTTCCCAGTGGAAAAGAGACTGAGTTCCTGCTTCCTTTCACCTATATTCCTTTCTCCACACAGCCTTCTCACTTCCTGTCTGTACAAACCTCCAGACCTCTATGGTTAGCTAGTGGAAAAGCTCCACCCTCTGAGCTTCAGACACATTTTATTTATTTGTACAAACAAGGTACCACCACACCTCAGGGATCCACCTGTCTCCCCTCTCTGTCTCCAGCACTGGGATTATAAAACTGCACTAACTCAGTACCCTCCTCCTCTCTTTCTTATCCTAATGTGGATTCTAGGGATTAAACGCAGGCCCAACACTTTACTGACTGAGCCATCTAGCTCTTTGATATCCTGGCACCTCTTTATTTTTGAATTCATTATTTTGGATTATTTTTTTGTATCCCAACACCAAGCTTCTGATCACCTAAGTGCTGGAATTTTAGGCCTATGACACACATCTGTCCAATACTTTTTTTTTTTTTTAAATTCTTGAGACATGGAAATTGCCCAGCCTGACCTTATAAAAATGGACAAGGCTTCTAGTGTTGGACAGATCTGAGTCTTGGAAGGAAAGGTTCTGTGATTCCTGACAGAACAGCTGCAGTGGTTTTGCAAAAAAGAGACAAAACAGGGTGCCACTAACCTGCACATGACTGAACTGAGATGATACAAGAAAACTGAACAGAACCAGACCTACTAAAAAGGGCCAGTACTAAGCAGGACAATTCCTATGGTCAGAGTTCAGGCATGTACACATGTCAAAATTTGTATGTGTAGTTTCAACACAAAATGCATAAAGGCTCCATGTCACCACCAGCAGAACAAATAGATGATATGTGCTCCTGCATATGACATATCCTAGAAGGACATGATACTGCTTCTATAGAGTTCCAGGCACAAAATACATACCTTGTATTTAAAGAGAAAAAAACTGAACAAACATAACTGGAGAAACATACTCTAAAACAACTATCTATATTCTTAAAAACTAGTATAAAATATAAACAACAGGGCTAGAGATGGCTTAGAGGTTAAGAGTACTGGCTGCTTTCTCTTTCAGAAGACCCCTCAAGTTCAGTTCCCAGCATTCACAGGGGAGCTCACAACTGTCTTTAACTTCAGTTCCAGGGGATCTGATGTCTTTTTCTGACTTCAATGGGCACCAGGCACACACATACAAAACACTCATATAAATAAAATGAATAAACCTAAAAGTAAAGAAATAGACTTCTACATTTGCATAAGCTATAAAAAGCCACTGTGTCTTCATGGACTTTACTGCCATCTGCTGGTAAGTTGTTAGAAAAGACAGTCAGACCTATAATAATTAGTGACTAGTGCCCCCTAGATATATGCAGGATATAAACGGCATAACCATAGAGAAAGGCCCTGGGTTCAGCCTTAAAATAATCAGTGGAATTAGGGTCTGGGCCAAAAAAGGATGAAAGAAGGAACAGCAGATAAAGGGCATTAATAGATAGTTCTATACACCAAACCACAGCTTGTTCCTTTGCTTTCTTCAGGCCCCGCCCAGTTATTTCCTGTTCTACTGCACACTGTATCCCATTACTTTGTATGCCTTTACAGCTTTATTTCTCCTCAGAGCATCTTATATACTTCTAACATGCTCTTCAAACCTGTGACAGCCCAGCCTGTAACCCAGAGCCAGCATGACTATAACTTTCATTCACTTCTTGATAATGCCCCTCACACAGGAATATGCCAAGTGGAGACTAAAGCATTCTTGGCAGACAACAACAGAAAGTTTCCATGGAGGCCAGAAGACAACATTAGCTCTCAGGGGTTGTTAGCCGCCATGTAGGTGCTAGGAATCAAACCCCTGTCCTCCAGAAGTCAGTGCTCTTAACCACTGAGCCATCTCTCTAGTCTCATTAGTTATTTTTCTATGCTTCTGATGCAGAGCCTCTGTATTTACTGAGAATATTTATATTGCTGGTGAATTACAAATGATTCCTCCCTACTTCCCAAGTCTTCTATAATATGGCTATAATGGCTACTCTTGGTTATCAACTTGACTATATCAACTTAACTAAAAAGAAGTGGCAAAAACACACTTTTAATATGGATCTGTTGAGATGGGAAGATCTACCTTTAATCTGGGACACACATTCTGCTGGCAGCCTATATAAAGGACATGGAAGAAGGAAGGCTTAGATAATTGCCTGTTATTGCCGGCAAGTCTATTTCTTCACTGGCATTAGAGCCTACTTTTTTGAGATTTTGATGAACTCTGAAGACCAGATGAGATGTCCAGTCTCAAGGACTGAACAATTACTGGATTCTTAGACCTTCTGTTGGCAGACAGCTATTTTTAGATTAGCTGAAACAAAGCAGGTAAGACATCTTAATAAATCCCCTCCATATGGCCCGGCAGTGGTGGCGCGCGCCTTTAATCCCAGCACTCGGGAGGCAGTCCTGGAACTCACTGTGTAGACCAGGCTGGCCTCAAACTCACAGAGATCCTCCTGCCTCTGCCTCCCAGGTGCTGGGACTAAAGGTGTATGCCACCACCACCAGGCAATATTTACTTCTATGAGATGAAAATAATGGCAAAATCTAGATTTTTACCTCGACTTCCTTTTTCAGTACACTGTGCACTGTTGCTGCTACAAAGAAAAATACTAAGGAAAGCCCAGGTAAGCGTGTCTACAAAAACCCATGCTCAATCCTCAGTAAAAATCAAGGAAACAATCAGGGAATGTTTTGTATTCCTGGCTTTTTATTTTGCAATCATGCATTCATTTAGTGCATGTGTATATTTGGAGGGGGGGTTACTTTCAAGGGTTGGTGTTCAACCATGTGGGTTCTGGGCATGAACTCAGGGTGGGCTTGACCTTTACCTATTGAGCCATCTCAATGGCACTCCTTGGCCTTGTATGTTGGTTCATAAACTTAGGGAAAAAGAAAAGCTGCCTGCCATAAATTATATCTATTGATATACATCAGTGGAATCTTTTATACCAATTGGATATTTATTTATTTAGGTTTTTCGAGACAGGGTTTCACTGTGTCGCTCTGGCTATCCTGGAATTTGCTCTGTAGACCAGGCTGGCTTTTAACTCGGAGAGATCCTCCTGCCTCTCTACCTCCCTAGTGCTCAGATTAAAGGTGGGTGGCACCACCACTTAGCTTTATTTAGTTTTAAATACCTGCATTACTATTATGTTTTCTTCAACCATTTACATTTACACATTCTGTGTAAAATATTTCAAAGATCATTTATTAGAAACAGAATTTAAAAATAGGAAAACAAACTCAGGAAACTAATATAAAGTCAATATAGTGGCATGTATAAGGAAGTAAAATATCTAAATATGATTACATATCATTTTTAATTATTACCAATGTAACATGTACAGAAGCTTATTTTATATAGTATCATCTGTTCAGAATGTGTTAACATTACATTAGGATATGTGTT